GCCTTCACCATATTAAATGCTCTATGTTTGATATGATTGATTTCTTTCTTTGCTACAATAAATAGCCTTGCATATGTTCCAGTGTATTCCTGTGCAAGTGTAACTGCCAGTAAAAATTTCTTGGTTGAATTTATGGGTCAAAAATATCTGTGTTTTAAATGTTAACAGACACTTCCAAATAATTCTCTACAGAGAGTAGTAATAATTTACATATCCATCAATATTTTATTTCATTACTTATTTCCTTACATTCTTAGCAACAATGTATTATAAAACTTTGAATTTCTGAAACGCACATGGTGAAAAGGATCTTGCTATTTTCTTTTGTTATATATTAGGCTAAACATATTTCTGTTTGTGTTGTAAAATTTTTCAGTCTTTGTCTACATATGTCTTTATTTCATTCTTATCCTTAAATTATAATTTAGCTGTACATAGAATTCTAGATTGAAAAATGTTTTGCCTCAGAACTTTCAGGATATTATTTCATTGTTATGACTTCTATTGTTGATAATGATAAAAAGTATAAATGCAATTCATGATACTAATCAAAGAAGAAAAGAAACATATGCATCCTATTAGTTGCAAAATGGGTAGATGTTAATATTTTAGTTATTTTAAATTAAAGCCTCTTAGTAACATGGGTGTGATATATGTCAAATAAAGCTGTGCATTCCATTTGAGAAATTCAAGTCCACTATTATCATTATTTTTTGGTATCACTGCTCAAGACTGTTATATGATGCATTTAAAGAAGATATTTAACTACTAAAAGAAGATATTTAATACAGCAAAATGATAATATGGTTTATGTAGGAAAGTGGTTCTTCTATGTTACCCTGACAACTTTGCAAATCAGCACATGGGTCCCACAGACAAGGTTCAACTATATTCTAGTCCTTCATGGCAGAATGCCCTATGATTCTCTCAGAAACATGGGAAGAGGCAGCTTTGTAAGGAATCATCGTAAGGCTATTTATCATCAACCTCCCCTATAGATGGAAGTTACCTATATTGTGGGCCGCTACTATGAGGCAGTTTCTCAACCACCAGTCCTCTGATTCTAGTGAGGCATAAGACTTTCTACATGTGTCCTTTGGGTACAGATGCAAATTATACAATTATGTGGCTGTAGTTTAAAGTTGGGTTTTCAAGGACAAAACAGATAACCTCTTATATCATTGGTTATCTGGCCCTTCCAGTTTCATGTCTTTCCATGGAACTAGGAAATAGGTATGTGACACTATGTTAATTTTACTTTTGTTGTCTGTATAAATAGCAATCTGTACTATGAATAGGATTAGTGCCCTTATAAAAAGACAAGTGAGAACTTTTCTCTTTCTGTGTTCTCCTCCATGTGCAGTTACAAGGAGAAGGTGACCATCTGCAAATCAAGAAGTGGGCCCTCACCAGACACTGGATATCCCGGAACCTTGCTCTTGGATTTCTCAGCCTCTAGAACTGTGAGAAATTAATTTCCATTGTTTAAGCCTATGGTAATTTTTCATGGCATTCCAAACTAAGATAAACTGTTTATAGACAGCTTATCTTAGTTTGAACTACTTGTCTCCTTTCTGGTCAAATCTATGAAAATATGGCAATGTAGCCACTGTGCCATTGCTTAGGGACTACTTACCTACTTGAGAGATTGCTGTCTACCTGGAAAATCCTAGAATAAAACCTAGAAAACTGAAAGAATAAAGTTCAGCAAAGCAGCCAAATACAATATTATAACACAAATAACAGTAGATTCATATGTTGAAAGGCAGTTAGAAAATCTCCTATTATACCTAGATAAGTTAATAAACAACAAAATTATCTAAGATAAATCCCATGAAAAAATGTATAAAGTCCCATGAAGAAAACCATAAAGCTTTGCAGATATATGTAAAAGGTTTGAATGCCTCAAAATACCTAGCAAACAAATTTTCTTAGAATCATTTATGGAGATAGAAAATACTTGAAGACGTAGGCATAGTAGATCCAACCTCTCATACTTCCAGGTAAGGACAATGACAGCTAGCACCTGGAGAACTATTTATAATTGCATATTCAAATGAGGCATAGGAACAACCTAGTCTCTGATTGGCTGAAAAGTAAAGAAAGAATACATGTAAATGTGTTGATCAAAGTACATTCTTATTGGATGATGCTCATACTTGGCATGAAACACTCAGAAAACAAGACAACCAAACAGCCTAGAAAGTAAGTGTGGCCTGTATCAAAAGTACTTTGGAAAGCTTCTTCCACAGCACCTAAATTTTGTGGGTTTCAGCTTCAACTACCTGAGAGAAACTGAGCTCCTTAACTTGTGTCCATGAGAAATGACACTGACCCTGTTTAGGTTATTGGTCTACCTACCCATAATCAACCGTTATTGGGAGCTGCCTTGTTGAGTCAACCCTGGCTTGAGCAGGAATTATTTGAACTGGGAAGAGTGATTCTGGAAAACATGGCACTTGGATTGAGGTATCAGTGTCTCCAAGACTGACTGAAAACCTCAGTAAATTGGAAAAAAAACAAAAAAACTTAAATGATAAGAAGGAGTTGGACTAGCAAATTAGAAAACAGATTATACCAGGATACCATAAGAGGTTGAAAACATTACGAACATGGTATTAGAACCCGAAAGAAAAGTTTCAAACATAGCATGAAATGACATATAACTTTAATCAAAAAGTAAAGGAATAGAGGCAATCACTTCATAAATGGTACAATTAGAGCACATGCACACAGTACTGCATGATTATGAAAACAACCACAAAAGACCTATTTACTCATAAGAAAAGTGTTAAAGTTGAAAGAAAATTTAAAAAATGTTCCCCCATCCCCTGTTCTTCACTTTGTCAACCTACTTGATGATTAGGTGATTCATAATCAATGAATTATAAGCATAACCAATAAATTATTAGCAAAAAACACATGATCTAAAACTCTGATTTTAAAAACTAAAATGACTCTTAAAGTGTCTTTGGTATATGATGCTCAAGTTTAATAAAAATAACTCACTGGCAGTTAACATACTTGGTGACAGCACATGGTGTACTTGGCCAGCTCCCTGGGCAGTAGGGAGTATTCGGCCTTTTGAACTTCCTGGAGGTAATGGTTAATCATCTGTTACAATGGATCAGAAGGGAAGTGTTACCAGTGATCTGCTCAAAGTTGCCATTGCAAAATACATTTATGAACACATGGCCTTAGATCAGATGCCCATGTATTTGTTTCAATATTTTACAGTGTTACTAATTATTCACTTAGAATTTCCCTGCAACTGAACTTCCGTTTCTCTCATCCTACTTCTTGAAATTAATCGTGGTGGTTTGTTGGAAATTATACTGATGCAATAGAGTTTCCAAGTTTTCTACAAGGAGGTTGGTCATCTGGGGAACAGAAAAACTCACAGGCCAAATTAAGATGATAAATATACATAATTGGTTAAATAAATTTAAAATCCACTGCCAGAAGCAAGGAGAAAAATATAGGCTGATTTTACATACTTAGAATAGGAAGCAAGTAAGATAGAAGAACTATAGCACTGAATTTGGTAGTATACAACATTCTAACATCTGTCTCTGTCTTTCTCTCTTTCTGACACATTAACTTTCCCTGCTGATAGTGTGGTTACAAGGGCCAGTGCTGAGATTCCAACAACAGAGTCCACACGCAGAAGATGCCATAGGAGAAGATAACAACACACATTTGCTCTGTGGGAAAGACATGCTAAACAGTCATGGATTTTATTTATTTATGTTTTCTTTAATTGACAAATAAATATTGTATATATTTATAGTGTACAGCATGATGTTTTGATATGTGTATACAATATGGAATGGCTACCTTAAAATAACATATCAATTTTCTCACACATATGTATTTTGGGGATGAGAATATTTAAAATATACTCTTTTAGCAATTCAAGTATATAATACATTGCTATTAATTACAGTCACCATGTTGCAAAATAAATCTCTTAAACTAAATTTTTTCCTCCTATCTAACTAAAATTTTGTGTACTGACCAACATTTCCCTAGCTCCCAGACTTTGGTAACCTCTGTTTTTATAAGTCTGATTTTTTTTAAAGATTACATATACACATTTATGTAGTATTTGTTTTTCTGTGCCTGGCTTTTTTCACTTTGCATAATGTCCCCCACGTTCATCCATGTTTTTGCAAATGAAAAAATTTTCTTTTTCTCAAAGGCTGACTAGTATTATGTTTCTTGAACAGAGAACACCTGATGAAAGAATGAGTGTCCCCAGAAGGTGACTGAATCAAGGCTTCACAAATATTGGTGCTCATATATCTTAAAATCTAGGTACTCATATATCTGAAATATACCTTGGATATTTAACATATGTTGTATATTTAGTATATGATAAAGAGTTTGTGCCTTGGTGTCTTATGTTTATTTTAAGTCTCATGAATGTTAAGTATCTCTTGGTCTTTCTTAACTTACACATGATCTACTTATTAATTCCCATCAATACATAACATATCTCATGACTTTCATATATCTATATTCCATTCATTTTCTTGTCCTCTATACAGAAAATAAATATTCTCTATATTCTCTCTATACAGAAAATAAATAAAAATACAGGTGACAAAGGGAGTCCTGCAGATACTTGTATTCAAATAAAATATTAATAAAACCAAAGTCTGATGGAATGAAAAACAATGGAAAAGGTACATAAAAGTGTTTGCCCATTCTATTTTGCCTGGATGAGTTCAGCCAATAAGGAAACTAATTACAACATGCGTGTTTGTTTGTGTGTGTATGTGTATTCACCTTCTGACTTTCATTTTCTCCTTTGTGATGTTTACTATTTTTAAAGGGGTTATGTCTCAGAGGATGCCTGTCCTGGAAATCAGGGCATCAAGGGTTGCGCTAAAGCCAAACCCGTTCTTTCCCAGCCGAGCTCCAGTTCTCCATGGGCCATGTGCACCATGCACCACCTGCTTTACAAGGGCAACTATGCAGAGTGAGTTGGGCCCGGCATGCAGGTGTACTTGGTGGAGGTGTTGGAGTACCTGATTGCAGAGATTGAAATCCTAGAGCTGCCAGGCAATGTGGCTGGTGACAAGAAGACTCATATCATCCTACACCACTTGCAGCTGGCCATCTGCAATGACAAGAAGCTCAACAAGTTGCTGGGCAAAGTCACCATGGCCCAGCACAGAGTTCTGCCCAACATCCAGACCATGCTCCTGCCCCTACAAAATGAGAGCCACCACAAGGCCAATGGCAAGTAACTCCCCCAGATAATAAAGACCAGCAGATGACCTGTTTTGGGGGGTAGAAAGGTATAAGAAACATTCTGATGGTTCATTTTCAAGGCCTTTCTAAGTGCGCTCGTGGATGTAGCAATCTTCAGCCACCGGCTCTTGGTGGTCTCCTAAACAGGCAGGAGATGGAATCTGGCCAATGAGAAAGCAACACGCTATTCTTAAGAAAATATAGACTACTTTGATCCCCCTCCCACCTTAGGGAGGTGAATCTTCTCTCTCCCTTCTCTTTCTTACTCTAATTTATTTTTAAATAAACTATCTTTTAAAATCTAACTTCTGTGCAATTCTTTGCATCTTTCATGTGGCATCGGATCACACCCCAGACGCCCACACTCATCTTAAGATTGCAGCCCTTTTCCTGTCTGTGGGAAGTGATCTCTTTCTTAAATAAATATTTTCTTCACTTCAAAAAAAAAAAAAAGAAAAGAAAGAAAGAAAAAGAAAGGAAAATAGAGACTTAATCAGGGAAGGGAACCAGGGGTAACGTTATAAGGAAAAAAAAAGGAACTTAGTCAATGTCCAGAAAATATTGTGTACCCGAAAGTACTCAGCCAATGGGGAACCAGGAAAGGGATTTGCACACTAGGGAATGAATTGCTTGCTGTGGCCACCCTCGGTCTGCTTACCTAACAGACACCTGCTCTTGCAAGGCCACCATTCAAGTCTCACTTCTGCTGTAATCCGTGTCTTCAAGTCCATCCTTTGATTTTGGACAGGTGAGTTTGTTTCTCACAATTTTGGGCTTGTCTGGGATTATCTGCAACCATGGGAGGGGGACCTCAGAAGATGGGAGGTGTGCCCCACCTGATTTTCGGGTGGCCTACTCTGCTTGGGTTTCTCGGCTCCCCGTAGGACCAACGCCCGAGACAGTTGTGCCAGAGACAGCAGAGGTGGTACAGAAAAAGAGTTAGCAGGCACCACAGCAACCAGGCAAACTTGTGCATGAACCAAGGTAGGGAAATTGGGCTCTAAGTATTGAATTGGTGGTTGGGGCATTTTTGGAGTTTGAACGTGTGTGACTGAAATGTGTCCTGGATACCAAGCAAATGCAGAGTCTGGATCCTTGGTTCCATTCTCCCATGAGGGAAATGGCCAGAGACAAAGCAGGCCCCAGCATGTGCAAGAAACCTCCAGTGGGGGGGGGGTTGGTTTGAATACATAGGGAAACTCAGGCACCAGGGTTATCAACCTAACAGAAAATGAGGAATAAAAATTTTAGGCCTAGGGGAACAAAGGAGGGCCAAGAAAATGGACCGGGAGGAGGGGGGAAAAGAAGAGAAGAGTTTCTCTCCAAGGACATTCCTCCAGATAGTCCATCAGGGGAAATGTTGAAATGATGAAGAAGCAATCCCTGGACTAAAGGTAAAGAGAAACAAAAGATAATTAAATACTGTTGTTTTGTTTGGACTAGGGAGCCAGTTTGCAAACCTGTGGTTTTCTGGTTACAGTTTGACTTAGAGGAGTACTGGGTGGTGCCAGAACTTAGTTCCCCATGTTACTTCATCCTCTCTTGGTTAGTTGCCAGGAGCAGTTTCTATGTTTTCCCTCAAGGCCAAGGGAACAGTCCCCAAGGAAAAGTTCTGGGACACTCTTTCTAGTCTCCCTTCCCCTTAGGGGAAACAGAAAAGCTGGAGGCAGTCAGGGGACCCAGGGTCCCTTGAAGGCTCTGAGCCAGGGGGCTCAGGGCTCCAAGGAACTTCTAAGCCTGCTGCCCCTACAAGCCTCTACCCAAACCTAAAGATGCAAAAAGACATAGAAAATTTTCCTCTCCCTTCCAAAGTCCCTGTGGAGGTTTCTAAAATATTTCCCCTTGGGGAAAATCCTATAACTGGAAGGAAGCAATAGTACTGCTGGATGGTACTACCACTGGGTTTTACCAAAGCCTCAAATTTAGTTGGTCAGATTTTTGAAACTGCCCTAGAGAAATTTCAACCCAGGGCAGGGACCCAGCTGTTGCAATATGTAGATGATTTACTGATCTCTGAAAAAGAAAAGGAAAGAAGTAGCAGAGACTACTATTCGTTTGCTCAACTTTCTAGGGCAAAAAGGGCTGCAAGTTTCCAGAAATGATCTACCTTTTGTAGAAAAGGATGTTAAATATTTAAAACATCTTGTCAGTGAAGGGAAATGATGAATAAATCCAGAGAGAAGAGCCGGCATAATGAGCCTGGCCCTGCCCAAAACCAAGAAAAAGCTCAAAAAGTTTTTGAGGCTAACTGGCTGTTGCCAGATATGAATTAAATCTTATGCCTGAAGAACAAGAATTTTGTATCTAAAACTATTAAAGAAGAAACCTAACCCCTTACAATGGTCTCAGGAGGAAATACAAGCTAGAGAGTATTTAAAGCAGACCCTCATTACAACCCCTGTCCTGGCTTTTCTATCGCTAGACAAGACATTTCATTTTTCTGACATGATAATCAAGGCATGGCCCTAGGGGTAATAAACCAAACCTGGGGGTGGGGGAAGAAGTGGCCTGTCAGTTTTGTTTCTAAACTCCTCAACCCTGTCTCTTGAGGATTGCCGGAATGAGTCTAGGCAGTGGCAGGCACTGGTCTGTTAGTTAAAAAAAAAAAAAAAAAAAGCAGAAAACTGACCTTTGGGGATCCTTAGTAATCAGTACTCCTCATCAGGTGAGAACCATACTCAACCAAAAAGCAGGGAGATGGCTAACTGATTCCCAAATCCCAAAATATGAGGTTATGCTATTAGAAAAAAATGACTTAATTTTAACCATAAATGGTTATCTAAACCCAACTAGTTTCCTATGGAAAGGTGATGAGAACCTTGAAACAATAGATCATAACTGCCTGGATATAATTAAATATCAAGCCAAAGTTAGATTAGACCTATGAGAGATCCCATTATAAGATGAGTCAAGACTATAGATGGGTCCTCCTGAATAATAGAGGGAAAGAGGCATAATGGATATGCAGTTGTTGACAGGAATCAATAGTCTGTATGTGAGAAGGGTCGACTACCTAACAATTGGTCTGCACAAACTTGTGAATTGTATGCCCTCCATCAAGTCTTAAGTTTCCTTGCAGAACAGGAGGGTACCATTTATACTGACTCCAAATATGCCTTTGGGAAAATTTGGACAGAACAAGTTCTCATCAATAGCAAGGGAAATAAATTAGTACATAGGAAGTTAATTAAAGAGGTCCTGTAAAACCTCCTGCTCCCAACCGAAATAGAAGTAATACATTTCACCAGAAGAGGAGCACCTTGGAGGCCATAGGGAACAGATTGGCAGACAAGGTTGCAAAACAAGCTGCTCTAGAAAAATGAGGTTAAACTCTTAAGTCTCATTCCTAGCATCCCTAAAGTAACACTAAAACTTTAATTCACTAAAGAGGAAGAGGGTGAACTAAAGAGGTTGGTAGCTATTTCGAATGGAAATGAACAATGGTTCCTCCTGGATGGGAGGAAAATGATTAGCAAGACTATAATGAAAAAAATTAATGACTGCTACAGAAGGGGAGCCACTGGGGTCCTCAGGCCATGTGTGATGCCATATTAAAAAATTTTGGATGCATGGGCATCTATAGCATTGCCAAGCAAATATGTAAAGGCTGTATAACATGTGAGAGAGTAAACAAAAAGGAAATTCAAAAGCAAGCTGTGGGAAGAAGTCTCCAGAACTGAGGCCATTCCAAAGCATTCAGGTAAATTTCACAGAAATGCCAAAAAATAGGGAAATTAAGATACTTATTAATGATGATGGATTGTCTTTCAGATTGGGCAAAGGCCTTCCCCCTTGCAACTGCCACTACAGTGTATGTAATAAAAATACTTCTAAACCATATTATTTCTTGATTCAGACTAATGGAAAATGTAGATTAAATAATGGAAGTCATTTTACATCATGGATAGTGAAGAGGGTAATAAAAAGCTTACAGATTCTGTGGGATTGCCACACCCCTGGCACCCTCCTTCTTCAGGGAAAGTAAAAAGATAAATCAAACCCTCAAAAAGAGTATTACTAAATTAATAATGGAAACTAAATTACCCTGGGTGAAGTGCCTTCCAATTGTGCTTCTCAGAATCAGGACAGCCCCATAAGAAAATGTGAGCTTGTCTCCTTATAAATTACTGTATGGACTCCTATACCTGGGAAGAACTACGAAACTTCCCACTACGAAAACTAAGGACCAATTTCTAAAAACCTATATACTGTCCATATCTTCCACTTTTTCCTTCCTTAGATTAAAAGGACTTCTTGCCCAGATCCTGCCTCTCAATTTTGCTGTTCATCACTTCCACTCCGGCGATTTCATCCTTTATAAAAACCTGGAAGGAAAGCAAACTCCAGCTTACTTGGGTTGTGGTTACTACTGTCAAATACTCCTAACTACTAAGACTGCTGTGTAAAATGGCTGAGAAAGGTTGAACTCACTATACCTGAGTTAAGGGACCAATAACTCAAGAAGAAGCCAAAGATCAATGGGAAGTATCTAGATCACCTGAAGAATCCTTAAGGGTCACTCCAAGGAAATTTTCACAAAAAACATGAACCAGGTTCAAATTTGGTATTTAATATGGATAAGTTTGGGGGGCCAGCCCCCAAAAAGAGATTTAAAGGGTCCCTTGGAAGGTGTGATGGCATCGGTGATTATTCTGGAGTGATAGATATTAAAAGAAAGAAAGAGACTGGGGGAGAAAGAAAGTGGACATCTGTTCAACGAATTGAGCAGAAGTCGTTTATTGGGGGTTTACAGTGTGTATTTATCCCAAATTTTACACAGGGAGTCTTACAAGTCTTCTACGTGAACACAAGCCAGGTGC